TCCCCCCCTCCCCTTCCCTCTTTCCCTTCCTTCCTTTCATTCTTAGCTGGTTACTAGTCTCCTCACTGGCATCAGGTGAAACTTAACCTGATTAATATGTTATTTCAAGAAGGAAAATACTGTAAAGCAGTGCTTTTCAACTAGTGTGCTTCAAGAATTTTGAAAACATGCAGTACCTGACTATTTAGTTGAGGGTACTGACCTCTTTTCCCTTGGATTGTCAACTAAGAAAATGACAACAGCCAACACAACAATAACTGTCCAGTGTGAATGACCTATCTTAAATATAGGGTATTCCAAAAAAATGTGTACACACACTTTGAATAATTACAAAGGCAGTAGTAATTAAAATACATTTCATTTTCAAAATGTAGTAGAATCAACTGTTAAAGTGTATATATATATTTTGGGGGACCCTTTGTAGGTCATACAATAGAGTTGCATCTTACTGGTCATGTTCTATAATAAGGATACATCTAACTGGTTAATTTTTGGTACCAGAATTCCTTATATACAAGTAGAGGCACCTGATTTTTTAAAAAGTCACTTTGGAGCTAAAAGGATAGGTAATTACTAATTTTTTTTGTAAATCAATAAAAATTATACCTATTTTTTTGTCAGATCGGCAAAAATTCTATTTTTTGGTGTGATGCAGAATTTTAGTAATTAGTTTATGTGTGCCATGAGATGACAAAGGTTGAAAATTGCTGCTGTAAATGGATATTTACTTGTTTATGTTCTGTTCTGATGCTTGTTGGCCATGTATCCCAAACTACATGGTGACATCTTGTTTTATCATTATATACAATAGGTTTTTTCTTACAGCTTTAGAATTGTTGAATATGGAAACCTGACTGCAAGTCATAGAGTCTTCAATTTAAAATTTTGTTTTCATACAGATTTAAAACAAATCCCACTTTTCATGATTACTAACAAAAAATTTTACATTTTGATGAAATAAAAGTGATTTTACCATGCACATACCTGTGACAAGTCCTACCTTTCATAATTCTGCTATACATTTGTAGCTCCATGAGGAATTACAGGCTTACCTAAAACACATTTATATTCAGCTAACATGAAAATACAATTTTAGGTTTGAACTGCTTTGTGACACTTCTTATTTCCATTCCAGGAGGTTACTCTATATATAGTATACATAATTGAAACTTTAGAAACCGGATCAGAATTTGCTTAGGATGGGGAAAAATTCATTCTGAATGCTTATTCCTTCTCACGTCTAAGAAATGCAAATACCATGGTTTAAAGTCCACAGAAGTAAAAAAGTCTAAAGAAACGAGCCTCATGCTCATTTCTGGTTTAAATTAACTCAGTATTTGTTAATCAAGAGACACATGGTGGGAAGAAAGACTTACAGAAAGGCTGATGCAAATGTATAGATTTAAGGAAATGATAAAGTTCTTATATTTGTATATTTTTTAAAAAGTAGATGGGGAGTATCTATCTTAAACATTGTTGATTGGAAAATAAATATACATCTCAGAACTTCAGGGGAATTTGTGACTCAGTTTTGCCAAATGTGAATGTGTGAGGGAAGGCTCTCTTCCTGGGAAAGACTGCCTTCTATTGGGTCTTCAGTATCACCCCCTTGAATCCTTTTTCTTTCAAGTTGTTAAAGTTAACCAACATGGTGTCATGCAATCCACTAATCAAGTACAGGTATCACTGCCAAAAACTTAGACTTTTTGTTGGGAGTAGTTCAACACCCTTTAGACCTGATCTCTGGACTTTTCATCTTTAAGGCACTGACCGATGCTACTTGGATGAATTCTACCATCTCCTAGGAGACCTGAATGTTAAGTTTCTAGAAACAAAGAAACCTGTTTTCTCATGTTGGGAGCAATGCTGAAATTCCAAGAGGCTGCTAAATATGTGAGTGGATCAGTAGCCGTTTCCACTTATCCAAAGACTTTGATTGCGAGAAGATACGTGCTTCAACAGAAACTTGGCAGTGGGAGTTTTGGAACTGTCTATCTGGTTTCAGACAAGAAAGCCACACAAGGAGAGGAATTGTAAGTAAAAATGCTTCCTACACATCTTGACTTGGCTGCCCGTATGTGCAACTTTTAGCTGATTAAAAACATGGAGTACCCTTCACTTCGCTCTTTGCATTAAAGGATTTAGTAAGAGAGAGAAAAGCTCCTTGAATGGTGTCTTCAGATAAGATTTTTAAAGGCATTTCAGTAGGTGAGGAAAGTGCCCACATAACTTAGAGAAGGGAAATGAGGTAGATTATGTGAAAATGAGATTTTTATGCATTCCAGAATCTCAATTACAACACTGCTTCAACTTAACTTGATTGGGACTTCTTGAATGACAGAATAAGAATTGTTTATAATGACTGCATTCCTAGAAATGCTATGAAATGCAAATAAATGGAAGTTCACATTTGAGAAACTATGGCATTAATTTTCTTTGCCTTTTCTCTCTGGAGGAGTTTTTCAAAGTCTGTAGTTATACAGCCCTCAAATTAGATATCTAAACCATACAGGGGCTCCCATCTAAAATTAGCTTATGTTGAGGAACCCCTTGCTGCTGCTTTGATTTGATCGGACTCTGTAAACTTACATAGTAGAGAAAACTCTGAATGCTGTTGAACAGTACATCTCTTACAGGTAAGGATGAATCTTCATTTTTAGCTTAAAGTTGTTTGAAATTGATGCAGTGAAAAGTTAGCTAGAACTGAAGTTAGGATAAGACACGTGTGCATGGGAAATATAGGAGGAAGAGGAAGCAGAGGGAAGAAGGATCTGAGCAGTAAGCCCTTGACTGATGAACACGTTCCAGTCTCAATCTGTTTTGAGGCTACTCTAGGTTCTTCCAGCTTTTGCTCTTTGGATATTTCAGTGCGGGTTTAAAATCATTCCTACTTCTTAATATTTTGTAGGAATTATAAAGGTAAATGTTACTGATGCTACTACTTTATTTTAAAAGCCAACCTTTTTGCCTAGCCGGGCGTGGCTCAGTGGTTGAGCGTCGACCTAGGATCCAGGTGATCGGGGTTCGATTCCCAGTCAGGGCACATGCCCGGGTTGCAGGCTCGATCAATGACTCTCTCATCATTGATGTTTCTATTTCTCTCTCTCCTTCTCCTTTCCTCTCTCTGAAATCAATAAAGATATATTTAAAAATAAATAAATAAAAAAGAAAAGTAAAAGCCAACCTTTTCAATGGTCTCTATATCCAGGATTTTAAAAATTATTTAGAATTCATAGTTTTCAATAAATGCCTACATGAAAAAAATGGTGACAGTGCTGGTACTCTTGTGGTATCCTTAAAACATGCTTTAAGACTCCTACTGAAAAGAATTTTTTCCCTCTTAAATCCTAGAGGTTCTCTTCCAGCCATTTAGAGCAGGATGATAAATTTCTGAAAATTACTAGGCAATCTTTATGGAAACATTGAAAGTAAGACCTAAATCTGACCGAGGACTTGTAAAACCACGTTGTAAAGCCCATATCCAATTTTGGTTTCTTCAACTAATAAGAAATATGAATAAAAGAATTCACAGGAAGGCTATTAAGTTAATTAAAGGGGTGTAAAGTAAGATGTATGAGGACTAAACTTGAAAGCTACGGACTTGAGATGATGGGTGAGTGTGGTGTGGGTGTGTGTGGGGGGGCAGCTAGTTGACTGGGAAGGATTTGTTAGTGACCTTTTCTGTACCTGAAGTAGTCTTAAAACATGTGAGTTGAGCTGAAGATAGTAGATGAAGCCTAGGTGTGTGGAATGAATCCAGTACTGCGGATACTTGAACAAATCATATGATGCCAGAAGGTCTAGTCCAGGCTCTCTCGGAAAGGAATCATTCCTCCTCAGAATCTCTACAGCATAGTACATACTGGCCACATTCAGCCTTCAGATGTGTTTTGTTTGGCCTGCACAGTGCTGCTTTTTTCATCTAAGTTGCCAGTATTTAAAATTGGGCAGCTCTCATAAAAATTTAGCTTTTTATCTTCTCTTGAAAAGATTGAAAGATTTGGTAACATTTGCTAGTAATTATATGTAAGACAATATATAATTCCATGGGCTGCCTATGGGCTGGAGCTGCGTAGCAGTTGGCCCCTTACGACAGACCCTTTACTCTCCAATTAGCCACATTCTTGCCATTCCTCATTGTCTCTCCTTCACCCAACTATGTCACACCTTTCCACGACCTGTCTACCTTTGTAGACATTTAATTTTAGAACTCTCTACTAAAATCATGAAGAATCATGAGTATGGCTGCTCACAAATGCTAGGATTCTAGAAGGAAGGCAGAATAGTGTCACAGTTAAGACCACAGGCTTTGGAGGTGAACAGGTCAAGCAGCAAAACCAGTCTTGTTCTCATCTGTGAGGTTATGGTTACGCAGGTTCCTAATCTGAGCTTTAGTTTCCTTATCTGTAAATGGGTATAATGCCTTGTAGGATTACAATAAGGGTTAAATAGATACCTATATATGTATAAAGTATCAATATAAATGTTATATAATAAAGAATATAATATGAATAAATATGAGATATATTTATGAGTAAATATAAATTTATTTGTAACTATATCTATAGAATATAAAAAATATAGATATCACATTGTCTTACATATAGTTATCACTTAATAACAGTTGAGATTCATCTAATTTATAACAATCCAAGTTAAGGAATAATTAAAGGATGCCTAGTAAAACTTTATCTAATCATCACCCAATAACTATATTTGGAACTCTCTATTAAAAGGAAGTTTTACTTTTGCATTCCACTTTTATGAGAGAAGAATCTCTCAGAGAGATCTGATGTCAAGCATGCAATTTTTAAAACTTCTTCAAGGAAATTTCTGGAGATTGTGAAAATTCTGTATTCTTTTATAGCTCTATAACTGTTCAAAAGAAATTGGTCCTCAGAATGTTGACCTTTTAGCTACATAAGATAGCAACTCATCAGCAATCGTTACCTTTAATACATGTATGGACACAGGAAATTAAACTCATATTTTTTTAGATTCCTCAGAGCATTGAAAGTTGAACCTTCAGTTTGTGAGCAAAACACATGAATCACACCGCCACCCACTCCCTAAGCAATTTAAATTCTGCTTAGGCCATAAACACAAGGAATTGGTTAATGCTAGAGATGGGTAGAGGATTGATTCTTTTATAAAAAATTTCTATAATGTTATGAATGCTGTTCTCTTAATAGGTCAGAGTAGATCTGACACCCCCTTTGTTGTTTGTAGAGCCCCCCCAACCTTTTGAGATAATAAGGAAAGTGTATCATACCTTTACATACCAGACTAGCCCTTGGTATTCCTTATTAAAGGAGTGACTTAGGTAGACCACAAGTCCAAGGTGGTTTGTAGGACACTTATTATTAGCCCTTGTGAAGTATAGGTCCATATAATAAGAACTTTTAGATTAATCAAACAACTTGACAAAACAGAACAGTTACAGTTTCTAACTTTTCCATCAGTGCATTGCAATTCATTATTGTGCCACTTGGGGGCACCACTCTACCACTGACATTTTTCATACGCTGGGAATTTGTGAATTTTAATTACAAGGTAAATAACATATTCCTTTACGTTTTTATTGACTTTCTGCTTTAGCTATGGAATAAAAATAAAAAAGCACTACAGGCATTACACTTGATTAATTTATATTTGGAGAGAGTTTTCTTTTTGGCATAAATATCTGGCACTCCTGTTTTAGTTATCACAGTAGAGTAAAATTAAAATGAGTAGTGAGTGAGATAGAGCTTTTTCCTTTCTTATGTTCTGCATCATGAAATTTATAAAATAATATTTGGGGACATTTTCTTTCATAATGACAGAAACTCTAGTATAATGGGTATGAGAATGTTAACTCATCCCTACAGATTGTTTGAATTCTAGTGCGTAATTTTATGTTTTCGTTAATATGTCAAAAATTTATTTTAAAAAATTTATTTAGTTTTTTTAAAATCAAACCTGTAAGATTTTGGTGAGCCAAGAATTTACTTTGGTCTTTAGCTTAGTACATGTAATTTAAAAGAAAAGAGATGTTAAGGAAGTAAACTTACCCTAAAATACACGCTTAAACTTGTACATGATTTTTGTACATGGTAAAATACATGATTAATTATGACTACAGTTGCATTGAATTTCAACATTTGCCTTATCAGCATAGAATGCTGGTTATAATGGTTTTTAAAATTTCCATCACACTTAAGATACAGTGACATTATTATGTGGAGGTGATTTTCTGCTGTCGTCTTTTGCTTTGTGAATTTAATACAATTTATGTATTAAGCCTTTGCCGGGGACTGAGCACGGGGGCGGGGAACTGAAGCAGTAGGAAATGCTGTAAGGCTTGCCCTCAGGATCTTCCAGCCTCCAAGAGACAGAGTTAACATGCATAAGGCAGCTGGCGGGAGCACGGCGCTTCCCCAGGCGTGTGGCAGGCCCATCTTAGAGATGCCGGAAAGGCCACTGCCCAGTTCTCTGGCTCCCTACAACCGTTATCTTACTAGTTTGGTGTGTTATCTAAGAGCTTTTCTTTTCCCCCTTGGTCCTGTCCGCATAAATCAGTGTCCACATATTTCCCCTCTTAAGTGTGTGCCTGCTTATGCCTTGGCCTAAATGTGGTCGGCATGGCTAGCATGGAAATGCTTTGTCCACAGGGCATTTCTTCCCAGGATCCAGTGTCCGTAGCGTGAGGTGAGGATCAGGAGAGAAGTGGGAAGGGCCGCCAAGTCCTTGAAGAAATGACCTCAAGCACGTGCATGGAGGCCGTGCCTCCTGGAAAGCTCTCGGCCTGTGTCAGAGTAGATTTTCTAAAGTCCTAACCAGCGGATTTCCCGCCAGCCACAGAAGCGTGGAGGAGGCGGGGCTGAGAGCTGCTGTCACAGGTAGTCACACTGCAGAGGAGAGTGGCCTTAGCTTTAGGAGAAAGGGAGGTGAAGAGCCATAAGAGGGGGTAGCAGTTTACAGCCCACAGCACCCAGGGTCCATCCTCCTACCGCTGGAGATCCCGCTTAGCCCAGTCTCCTGTGGGATCCCCGGG